CTGATTGACTGATTGCTTCTGTGGACAGGTGTCTTTTATACAGGTAACAAGCTGAGATTAGGAGCACTCCCTTGTTTTTTATTTGTAATAAATCTAAAAACCTGTTTTCGCTTTGTAATTATGGGGTTTTGTGTGTAGATTGATAAGAGGGAAAAAAATCAATTTTAGAATAAGGCTGTAACATAACAAAATGTGGAAAAAGTCAAGGGGCCTGAATACTTTCCCGAATGCACTATACAACCACCTTTTCCACCGTTAATAAACTGCGCTCCGGATCGATGGTATAGAGCAAAATACTTGAAAAAGCATTTCTATTTGCTACTGTGAAGTGGGTCCAATTAAATGAGAAATTGGATGAATGGCTTCCTTGTTCTAGGCCTATGCTACATCGTGAGTATGAAAAGATCACAGAAAAGGTGAGGGATTCATTATGCAATGATCATAGAACTAAATAAAAACACATTTCTTTAACCTTTATTTAAGCAGGGAGTCATGCTGAGACCATGGTCTCTTTCGCAGATGAGCCCTGCATGAACATCAATAAACAGCAATTACACTATACATGAAAAGCAAACACAAAAATCAACCTAATGATGATTTCATCAACCATATTGATTTCAACTGTCAAGTATTGACCCATCAGTGCAGATGAAAGGGGGTGGAGAGAACAGATCCTCAAGCAATTGAGATACAACAACCAATACAATGTATAATGACACAGCAATCAATACAAAACACAACATTTATAAATAATTGCCTAGGAAATAGATGCCTATTAGTAATTATCTTTAAATGCAAAGTAGATTTCCTCTCTTCTCACTAATGGCAAATGATTGTATCTCGTTATTAAGCTGTTTATTGTTATGAATAAGCCTGTCCATCATATCCCCCATTTGTACAAAATACTAGTCTACTTGCCTGTTTCCAAACTATACTTCAACCACTAGAAACTTTGCGTAGGCATTGTCTAGTTTGCAGGAAGATGAGCACATTTTCATGTCAAGTTCAGTTTTTATAAATTCCAACTTTTGCGGGAAAACTGGCACACGCATGTTTTGGGGTCTATTTTGTACATATGCACGGTTAATAAATGAGGCCCCAGGCCAGGGTTTGAGAAATCAATTAGAGAATTGATTAATTCCTCCTTAGTTGTAAATTTTCTCGAAAACTAAAGGCACAACCTAGATTGGAGCCAATGTCTTATGTAGTCGTGAAAGTGACAAACTGACATGTTTTCATTTTCGTCCAAAACACTTTTATATCGAAGGGGTGCCTTTTGAGTTGACGGTTTGCAAATGCGCAGTTCGGTGCATGTGCAAACCGAGACAACCGTTAGACCCGATTACCTGTTTTTACGCATGCGTTTAGCGAGCCAACGTAACCATGACATCGCCTACAAGTGTGATCGAGGATTTGGACATTGCTCCATGTACAAGGCTACGTCACCACAAGAGGGCACCATTCTCTAATAATAATTTTCCAATTTCTGTTTCATAATTCTCAAAATTGATAACTAGCTTATTACATTTTTTTTTTTTCATTGATTCAATTCAGCAAGGTATCATAATTTACTAAGTGAAAGGTCATTATATTTTTATGATTCAGTTCAGTTTTATTCACGTTGATGGTGGTGACTGATAACTCAGGGTGGCCAGCCAACGTACATTACTATATTGTATTTATTAACTGGGCAGTGTATGCAATATTTAAGCAGAATATAATTTAGCTATTCTTACTATACAGTACATACATACTAAAATACATTAAGTCCACAGGTCAGTTCATCTCGATACTTCAAAACTCCTAAGAACTTCATAAATCCAGTGTGTGGGTCTTCCAGTGAGTTGGAGAGGATTGAGGAACCATGGCACAGTTTGAAAGCTTGATATGGACTGTAAGTGAAACATTTCTGATTTGCACATTTTGTGGCTTGGCATGTTTTTACTAGCCTCGTATGCCGCTAAACAGAATGTAAACTTGCGAGATCAGGATGGTTTGTATAATAATAATAATAATATGCCATTTAGCAGACGCTTTTATCCAAAGCGACTTACAGTCATGCGTGCATACATTTTTTTTGTATGGGTGGTCCCGGGGATTGAACCCACTACCCTGGCGTTACAAGCGCCGTGCTCTACCAGCTGAGCTACAGAGGACCACTGTCACGCTCTGGCTCCGGGACTGTGTAGTTTGAGCCAGGGTGTATTCATTTGGTTGTGTTGGGTATAGGGTGTGTTCATTTGGTTGTGTTTGGTTTTGGTTGGAGTGTCTTGTCTCGTCATGTGACTCCCAATCGGAGGTAACGAGTGTCAGCTGTCGGCTCGTTATCTCTGATTGGGAGCCATATTTAAACTGTCAATGTTCACCTTAGGGTTGTGGGTTTTTGTTCCATGTTTCAGTCTGTGTACTGAGGACTTCACTATCCGTCATTGTTTATTGTTTTCTCGTTCGTGCACTTTAACTTTAATAAAGTAATGTTCGCTACAAACGCTGCGCTTTGGTCCACTCCTTCCGTAGACGGCCGTGACAGAAAAACCCACCAAAAAAGGACCAAGCAGCGTGTCCAGGAGCAAGGAGACTGGACATGGGAGGAAGCGCCGGGTAAGGAGATCGAGAGGCTGGCGATGGCCCAGGTGGGCAAATCGTGGTCCTGGGAGGACATGCTCGGGGGCAAGGGACCTTGGGGGAGGATCAAGGCCCTGGCGAGAGAGGAGCAACGGCGTCAGCAGGGCCATCGTCGGAAGGACGAGAGGCAACCCCAAAAAGTTTTTTGGGGGGGGCACATGGCTTGGGCGGCTGGGCAGCAGGAGGCTGCCACAGGGAGATGTGGAGAGAAGGCTACCGGATTACGGGAGCCATTGGCGAGTAGAGGGAGGGAAGTAGTTGAGGCACGGCGTGAGAGACTGAGGTGTGTTACCAGTCCGGTCCGGCCCGTTCCTGATCCCCGGTTAAGGCCAGTGGTGTGTGTTCCCAGTACGGACCGGCCTGTTCCTACTCCACGCACCAAGCCCACGGTGTGCGTCGCCAGTCCAGCCCGGCCGGTTCCTGCTCCACGTACTAAGCCTACGGTGTACGTCGCCAGCCCAGCCCGGCCTGTTCCTGCTCCACGCACTAAGCCTACGGTGTACGTCGCCAGCCCAGCCCGGCCTGTTCCTGCTCCACGCACTAAACCTACGGTGTGCGTCGCCAGCCCAGCCCGGCCTGTTCCTGCCACCCGCACCAAGTCTACGGTGCGCGTCGCCAGCCCGACCCGGCCTGTTCCTGCCACTCGCACCAAACCTACGGTGCGCGTCGCCAGCCCGGTCCGGCCTGTTCCTGCCACCCGCACCAAGTGTACGGTGCGCGTCGCCAGCCCGACCCGGCCTGTTCCTGCCACTCGCACCAAGTGTACGGTGTGCGTCGCCTGTCCAGCCCGGCCGGTTCCTGCTCCACGTACTAAGCCTACGGTGTACATCGCCAGCCCAGCCCGGCCTGTTCCTGCTCCACGCACTAAACCTACGGTGTGCGTCGCCAGCCCAGCCCGGCCTGTTCCTGCTCCACGCACAGAGCCTACGGTGTGCGTCGCCAGCCCAGCCCGGCCTGTTCCTGCCACCCGCACCAAGCCTACGGTGTGCGTCGCCAGCCCGACCCGGCCTGTTCCTGCCACTCGCACCAAACCTACGGTGCGCGTCGCCAGCCCGGTCCGGCCTGTTCCTGCCACCCGCACCAAGTCTACGGTGCGCGTCGCCAGCCCGACCCGGCCTGTTCCTGCCACTCGCACCAAACCTACGGTGCGCGTCGCCAGCCCGGTCCGGCCTGTTCCTGTTCCACGCACAGAACCTACGGTGTGCGTCGCCAGCCCGACCCGGCCTGTTCCTGCCACTCGCACCAAGCCAAGGGTGCGAGTCGTCAGCCTGGTCCAGCCCGTTCCTGCTACTCGCACCAAGCCAAGGGTGCGAGTCGTCAGCCTGGTTCAGCTCGTCCCTGCTAATCGCACCAAGCCAAGGGTGCGAGCCGTCAGCCTGATCCAGCCCATTCCTGCTACTCGCACCAAGCCAGGGATGCGAGTCTTCAGCCTGGTGAGGCCGGTTCCGGCTCCACGCACCAGGCAAAGGGTGCGTATCGTCTGCCAGTTCCGGTCCATTCCTACCTCACGCGCCAAGCCAGGGGTGCGCGTCGGAGGTCCTGATCCAGCAAGCTGGGTCAGATCGGACCGGGGGCACTACGGGGGGAGTGAAGTGGGGTGGTGGTCAAGCCCGGAGCCGGAGCCGCCTCCGAGGAGCAACACCCACCCAGCCCTCCCCTATTTTGGGGTGTAGGCGCGGTCGGAGTCCGCGCCTTTAGGGGGGGGTACTGTCACGCTCTGGCTCCGGGACTGTGTAGTTTGAGCCAGGGTGTATTCATTTGGTTGTGTTGGGTATAGGGTGTGTTCATTTGGTTGTGTTTGGTTTTGGTTGGAGTGTCTTGTCTCGTCATGTGACTCCCAATCGGAGGTAACGAGTGTCAGCTGTCGGCTCGTTATCTCTGATTGGGAGCCATATTTAAACTGTCAATGTTCACCTTAGGGTTGTGGGTTTTTGTTCCATGTTTCAGTCTGTGTACTGAGGACTTCACTATCCGTCATTGTTTATTGTTTTCTCGTTCGTGCACTTTAACTTTAATAAAGTCATGTTCGCTACAAACGCTGCGCTTTGGTCCACTCCTTCCGTAGACGGCCGTGACAACCACAACCTATGAGGCTCTCTTTTCACGCAACATATATTACTGGCACCAAACAGCATGCTCAATTCACAGTATGCTCAATTCACAGTATGCTCAATTCACAGTATGCTCAATTCACAGTACGCTCAATTCACAGTATGCCACCACATTTACAAAAGCCAGTTTAAAATGGTCCTACATAATTACATTATATTTGAATTGTGAATATTTGTTAGAACTTTCCTGACTAGTTCTGTAAGTTTTATGAATACACATCAGTTTCAATTTGAGTGATTAGTGTATGTTTTCTCTACTTCCAGATAAATATTATATTGGTGCTTGAAAGCATCGGATCCTGTATTGCATGTGGTAGAGCCGAGTACAGAATAGGGGATGAATGTTGTCCCATGTGTTCACAAGGTAAGGACCGTCTCTTTACATCATATGAATCACCAGACATTAATACATCATCAACACCAACAGAAAAACATGACATTGTGATTCTCTCTTCTGCAGGAAATCGTGTTTATAAGCATTGTACTGAATTCACCAGCACCAGCTGTGTGCCCTGTGTTGATTCTACATTCCTTGATGAGCCCAATGGTCTCATGAAATGCAAAGTGTGTACCAACTGTGATCCAGGTAAGAGTGGTCCTGTGTGTCTGCACTGAAACCCTGACACAAACACTGACATGTTAGTCTATGCTGTTGTGCTATGAGGATATGTCAGTTAGTATAAATTAAATGTGCCTCATATTTTGCATCAGATATAACTTAATGTTTTCTCCATAGGTTTGGGTTTGAAGGTAAAGCAGCCGTGTAGACCTTCATCAGACACTGTCTGTGGGACACTGGAGGGGTTCTACTGTCTAGACCCAACTAAGGATGGTTGTAGAGCAGCCCAGAGACACAGCAGCTGTAAACCTGGTCAATACATCAGCCACACAGGTTGGTCTTCTGTCTCACTCATAAACTCATAATTCATTTGAGTCAAGTTAACTTCAGTGTGAATAATCATTACAGTTAATGGAATTAAATTAGTAGGGGAAAAACTAAATGCAATTTTTAATTAACATTTCAACATGTATTTATGCAGGAACAACATCTACAGATACTGTGTGTGCTGACTGCATTGGTGATACTTATTCAGATGGATCATTAACATCCTGCCAGCCACACACCAAGTAAGTTCACATATGTTTACATAAATCAAAAGTGTAAGATAAAGACTACAATAATATACTAAAGTACAAATCTACAATAAAACGGAAAGTTGAATGATCAGATTGGTATCTCAGACTGTTATATTATGTGTTACAGGTGTAAATCCTTAGGTCTTCAAGAAGTTAGACCAGGAACTCATTTGTCCAATTCTGAATGTGGACCACAATCCTCAAAAATAGAAACTGGAATCATAATTGGTGTTGTGGCATCAGTCCTAATAATAATAATAATAATAATAATAATAGGATTTGTAATTCTGAGGAAAAGAAGTTCAACAGCAGTGATTTTTTCTCCAGTGACACTAAATGCTGTAAAGGTATGTTGATATCATGTACATTTTAAAGAGTCCATATTTTCATTTTGAACAGTCACTGTGTTAAGGTTAGCTGACCGGTTGTTGTTATTGTTCTACTTTGGGGCTGAACATGAAATGTTTTATTGAGTAATATGTTTCCTTCTATTAGGCATCATCAGATTTAGAGGAAACACCAAGCAATGTACAATGAAACAGAAGAAGGTACAGCGTCTTGCATGTGTTAGTTTTGGAAGTAAGTAATGGTGAGTTGTCAAGAACTTCAGCCGTATGACAAAAGATGTATGCTCTATTACTTCACGTTATCAATGCTATGATGACAATTAAGATATGGTCAAAGTGCTATAAAACTATAGCCTCACTCTCACACGGTCCTTGTTCATTACTGGTTTATTCTCTCCCCAGATTCAAGCTCTGGCCACACTTATCATTACAATGCTACCTGAGGTATGTCCAGATTCTGTACACTGTGGTAAATGTGATCTAGATTCAATTTTTTCTTAAAGTTGGTTTCTGGCATACTAATTTTGTAGTGTACAGAGATTCAGCTGACTTTGAAGCTTAACCATGGACCCGATGTCCTGAATCCCTAAAAGTAATTCCAAGGAAATGGCACAATTTTTATTTTTTATATCCTGGGGGCAAAGAAAGAAACCTTAGTTGAAAACAGGTTCTGTGGGGGGAAACCCTCTGCTCTGTCTACAGGGAAGGTCAAGTGGGCCCACATAGGTGCAAATTCAAATGTCTGGCAGTTGAAGCTTCAGTACAAAAGGGACTAAAAATGACCCTTGTTAGCCTTCTAATACAGGTACAGTAGCTGCTTGGAGCGTGTGCCCCAGAGAGCAGAGTATGAGGGGGTTAAAGGTTATAAAGCATAATCATGAGGAAATATACAGATTACAACATCACCAAGACTGGAAAGCA